CATGGACCTCATCCACGACTTCCGCACTAGGCACAGGAAACCTCTGCACTAGGGCAGGATATCTGCCAGCCTGGCCACCCAGGAGCAGGTTTGCATGAAAATCAAGGTGGTCCAGTGAGACCCCCAACCCTGAGCCCTAAGCTTAGAACATAAGAACATAAGAATGGCCGTACTGGGTCAGACCAAAGGTCCATCTACCCAGTAGCCTGCCTGCTGACAGCGGCCAACACTAGGTACCCTGGAGGGGATGGACCTGTTAGCTTTGAACAGAATGGAGAAGGTCTTATGGACACTACTCCCGACAGTCACCTAGTGACTGAGCTCATCCGCTAGGGATGGTATGTCAGGTGTGTGACCCCCAACCGTATCTGATCACCAGAGAGTATCAGATCTTAGATTAATAGGGCGCATGAAATAAAACTTAAAACGGGGATTTTACTGAAAACCACAAGACTATATTGTTTAACGTAATATTTAACAAATATACCTCTAATGAACATGGAAGGGGGCAGTCCCTTCTTATACTACATGGACAAGGAAGGGAAGCCCCTCCAAGTCCCTATAACTACTTACAGAGTCTGCAGCGACAAAAAGGGCGATTGAGGTGGTGCTGGCGACCTACAACCCTCGGGCTTATTGAAAGCCTTCAGGGAGGAACTACCAGGTGTCCCTCATCGGAAGATCCCGATGCTTAGCGACCTACGATCCCTTGGCTAATTGGAAGCCACAGGAGAGGGACAGCTAAGGAGATCCCTCAAAGTGCAGACAGAGAGCGATGACGGTCGGTTCGCCTTCTGCGAAGCTTCTAGTCCTCAACACCTCTTCTCCGTGCTTTGGAGCAGCAGGATCAGGCGACAGAAGCTAGACTCTATCTTAACCTACCCTAAGCTTAACCTAAAAATAAAACCTTATTCTAAATCGCAATGAGCCCGACGAACAAGCACGAGGACGGCCGACATGCGGTGACCGACGCAACCTGCTGTACAGACTCGACGACGAGAACTAATCTAACTAAAATACTAAGCTAACTAGCCTAATTACCTAACCTAAGTGAGTAGATCTGACCTTCCGTCAGATCTAACCCTGAAAATAGCTAAATTAACATTTAAAAGAGTGAAGCATGGCCTTGCGCCAGCTTCCCTTAAAAGAATCAACTTAGGACAAGAATGATAAACACCCTCTCTCTCTCTCTCTCTCTAATCTAGCCTAGAGCCTATCCCGACGGAACCCAGGAACCTGACGCGACCGCAACTGCTGCGCGGCAGAGGCTTAAATACTCAAGGTTCATACATATTGATAAGTGTTCTGCTCAAAGGTGATTGGCTCATAGGAAATGCTCTCCAGGCGTGGTTTAAAATGATTGGTTGACACATGGCTTATGAATATTCATGTTATATTCAAATTACAACAGGCAGGTGAGTTATTATTTTTAAACTCTAACAGCTACCTGTAGACTTAACAGATCTATATTTCTAAAATGGATGACCAGAGAAAATTCCATTATTTCAAAATGGAGTTTTGGAATCCATTTTGAGATGATGCAGTATTTTGCATATATTTAGATCTACATACATTTCAATGGGTAAATAACCTCATGCATATAAATGACATCAGTCCTATAACATGTGCATAAACACTTTACAGATGTTCACAGGGTAATCTCACAGTAGATATTTTACATTGGAATTCAGTCATTCAATCTCATTGTTCACATTTTACATGAATATATCAGTTCTGCCTTACACCCTGAAGACAATGACCAAGCCATTTGTCTTATGCCATCCATCTCCAGCCTTCCACAAACAGAGGCCAGGGACACCATTTCTACCCCCTGGCTAATACCACTCCATGGACCCAACCTCCATGAATTTATCTAACTTCTCTTTAAACTCTGTTATAGTTCTAGCCTTCACAGCCTCCTGCAGCAAGGAGTTCCACAGGTTGACTAT